CGTCAATTTGCAGTTGCAGTCCCTCAGGGGTGTCCGACATACCGACAAAATCATCCGCAAACAGCATTCCTGAAACCGACGTTTCCGTGTCCCCTACTTTTACTCCCTTCCGGACTGCCTCTACGACTTCCAACAGATCGTTGATGAACACCTGGAACAATGTTGGGGACAGCGTGCAACCTTGTGGGACCCCCTGCTCAATGTCGAATAATTTAGACAGTTCTCCGTCTAGCATGACCGCGCTTTTCGTATACTCTGTCATCTTCTTCAGCACTCTCCACATTTTCCCCTTGATCCCGTATTTGGACAGTTGTTTCCACAACCCATTTCTCCACACGGTGTGCCTTTTTCACGTCCAGGAAGAAGGGGGGAGGGGGAGAGGGGGTACTCTCAAATTTTGCATGCCCTAGCGGTTAGACCATGAACCACGCGTCCTCGAGAGGACGGAGTATTGTTCCCACAGGTCCCACGCAGGAAGATCGGGGGAATCTCGTTTGTTGCTTGCTTGAAAAATTGATGATGGGAACGGAATCAAGCAAGAGTTGGGTGTGCAATGTTTTGGATACTTTTCAATTTTCGGTATTGGGGTCGCAATATGGAAGGTTTTTGAATTCAAATTGGCCATGCATGCGCCTTGCTGCCTTCAGAGAGGGGCTACAGTTCCCCGTGTCACGGGGGCAAGAACCGGAGACAACATCCAAGTCGACGTCCTTGGGTGGGAAAAATGCCGCCCAGACGTATATGTTTGTTTTTTTCTGTCATGTTCTTCTGTGCATTGTCGATGTTCGTGTTGCACACGAAGGACAACAACGAAGGGTGTGATCTTGTCCCAAAAGTTACCTAAACGATGGCTCCGACAAATCCGGCCGACGACACTAACAAAGAAAATGGCAGCGTTGTGGCGGCCGTAGTTGATGGTAAAACCAAAAGGGCAGACGACACACAAACATGGAATAAAGGAAATGAATGGTACCACCCGTAGTACGCCTGACCCTCCACGAAGAAAGAGACAAAGGCATGAAAAGGGCAAGTACCTGTATCCGTCGCTGTGGAACCCGAAGAAAATGACACATATTACCTTACCACCCGTAGCAGAACCAACCCGAAGGTCGGTGGCAACACAAAGATGAGAAAAACGAGTCAGGGAAACGAAGAAAAGCAAAACAGAGCGTACCACTCGTACTACGCGCGACTCCCACAATGGAAGAAAAAATGCATGACAAAGGCAAGTATGTGTACGTGTACCTGCCGTATACTCGAAGGAAGCCGAAAGAAAATGGACACAAGTCACATGAAGAGAAACAAAAATGCAGTGTTACCACCCGATGCATATGTGTGCCAGCGCGACGACGTTCATGGGAAGGAAAACGAAAGAAAGGCAAGAAAGCCAAAGATGGAAACAAAAAACGAAAAACGCAGAAATGGCAGCATACCACACGTTCTCATGCCCCACAGCGTTTCTACTCGCTCGCCAGTTAACGGCATACCGATCAGCGCGCACACCGGAGTCTAGCTCCTGGTGATGTGGGCGGCCTTGAACGCCATCCTCACCGTGGAGATGTGGCCGGCTGCTGCGACGGCCACCATGTCCACGATGAGGATGGAGTTCAAGGCCGCCCAGATAAATCACGAGGAGCCAGATCCTGGTGTACGCGCTGGTCGGTGTGACGCTCTCTGGCGAGCGAGCAGAGAGGCTGTGGGGGATAGCCACCGGTGGTACCAGGAGTGCCGAGGAGTGGGAGGAGAACTTCGCTATCCTGCGGACCCGAAGGAACGCTCCGCCTTCCAGAGATTGAAGGAGAACAACGGGGTTCCACGGCCGGAGATGGGGTAGACGCCCTTGAAACCTGCTCCGGCGGGGTGTCCTCGGCGTCGTTGATCCGGCGTGCGTGGATGGGATTGGCAGGAAATGTCACGGGGGCTGCGCCCATGTCCGGGGCTGGGACCGGTGACACCGGTCCCAGCCTCGAGCCAACAGCGCATCCCCAAGGTGGAGATAAACGTCGGCTCAGCTCCGCCGGTGACACCAGTTCCAGTCCCGAACATGACGAAGCCCCGCCCGTGACTCAATCCACGTCGACGTCGTACCAACCATGCCGAGGACACCCTACCGCAACAGGGTCCAACCGCGTCTACCCCATCTTCGGCCGTGGAATCGAATCGAGGAGGAGACTTGCGAATACAGATTTCAGAAACCCACACAGCTGTTCACTTGTCACACCGTGGACCTACACACAGAGCCGCACTAACTTAAGTATGGATTTTTGAAGTCAATAAGCAATGTCCAACATCGGGCACACGATAATTTTCCGAGAAAAACCAAGAAGTGCCAGGCGCGGAACATCCCACTACCAGAGTACCAATAAATCAACATGCAGACTCGCAGCAACTGCAAAAGCAGCGGAACATCACAACATCCTTCGAAAAAATGCAGAAAGCACCGAGCGACAGGTAACAAATACATCGGCGAAACATGTACGCAAGTGAGCATGCAGGATTAAGGGCCTACAGAAAAAATATATTGATGCTGACTATATAGTTTTGAAAACAAACCGCAAGAGCACCAGAAAATGCACAGGAGACACACAAGACCAGTCCGAGGACATGGAGAAAAACAGAAATCGTTGAATCTCGCAGCAGTAGAGGCTGCTCAAAACACGTGCATCACGCGTCTACCTCCACGCGCTCCCTTTGAAATCAAGACAACAACTCACACCAGTAAATATTCAAGTCAAAAGAGCCGAAACGGCAGACCCTCAAACAAGGTCGGGCTTGCGTTGGATTCTGCATGTATGCATTCCACTAGTTTCACTAAATGACACCCTATAGCAGCGGTGTGTGTGTTGGCGCGCTCAAATCTGTTTCTGCGGTGGTCATATCGAGGGTCGTAGTACATAGTGGCCTACAATCTCCGCAAATTAGACCGACACCCATTGTCTTGTACTGGTTGTGCTCGCTGCCGCGACCCCAATCCCCTGATCTGCGGGATTACAGCAGAAGCTGATGCCACTAGCTACTGCTGACAACCCGCAGTTCAGGGGTTCACGGTTTGTGGGGGTGAGCACGGCTGTGGCAAATGTTGGATTCCGCGCGGCACAGATTACGGACACTTTTCAGAGACTGCCGCGACCTTCGATATTTCAGCTCCAGTAGCGAACCTGAACGTGCCAGCACGCACGACGCCTCTTCATGGTGTTCTCTACCGATGACAGCAAAATGCATGGGATCAAACCGGCGGGGAGGGGTTTTCTTTCTATATATTGGACTTGAGAGTGAAAATAGAGGCAGCGTCAAAATAGCTTATTCTTCAACTTCAACCAGTCAACAAACCCGGCGAGAATACCACAGAGGCCACGCACACCGGGACCCCCCCCCTCCATAAAATTATTTGTCCACCCATTATATTGTCATTGTTTTGTCTTAGAATAACACAACAATCCGTCTCCAACGGTACTTTTCTCAATACAAGGTGCTTCGTATAACAGCAACAACAAATCCATCGCTGTCCGCAGGTGGGGGCCTAGGATGACTGTTTCCACTTTCGGTTGCCTTCTCACAACAAATCCATCTTGAACATTTTGTTAATACGAAGTACATGGCATAGCACAACAAATCCATTTCCGTCCACAAATAGGGGTCTGTAGAATGAGTATTTCCACTTTCTGTTTCCCTTCTCTTCATCCTCGCCTGTGGCCCCAAGATGCCTCCAGGAGCGCCTTGAGTTTCGCCGTATCGCCGAGCCCTAACCGCCTCGCGAGAACGTACGCTTCGCACGCCGCCACGGTGTTCGTGATGACTAAGTGCTGCCAACGACAACACAAGGCGAGCAGCACGTGAAGAACGAACCATCACGGGCGTATTTAGTTTTTTTGTTTGTTTGTCTGTCTTAGCTTCAAATCAGCGCGCTCACAGCATTTCTGACGAATACCCCAACCCGTGGCAACACAGAATGCCCCTCCAAAAAACACACTACGGGGAGTTATGGCAAGGATGAGTAAGGGGGCGGCGACAGGGGAGTCTTCGTCTCAACATTCGCGGGCCATGTATCGTGTGGAAGACATGAGGTGTAGGTGGTTGATTAACTTGAGAGGGACTTGCGCCTCTCCCCAAGACCGAGGCAGCCAGCACGCGCAAATAGCTTAGTCGAAGACAACCAGAAAGGATGTGTAACCTCGCATAGTCGTCACACTTTTTTTGGCACTTGACCGAAAGTACTTGGATATCAAGACTGAACGGAGCACTTGGTTAACACGAACAAAGAACAAGGGACAAATGGAAAATTCATTCCCTCGAAGGTGTTTCGTCGGTGCTTGAAAGTTTCATATATTCCAACGAAAGCCCCCCCGCAGCCGGACACACACCTCCTCTCGGCATGCCAAACCCACCCCCGACATAGCTTCTTGCTCTTTGACCAATCGAAATTTCAACGAGCGAAAAGCCGCCTCCTTCACTTCAGACCCCAACGAACCAATTCCCGACGCCTGGGGGACGCTGAAGGCCATTTTTGCAACTTTTGTGTTGCTTCTGCTACACCTTGATGAGACGTCGGCGCAACTCGCATCATATGTACTCGACCAAACGTTAACCTTCTTTGCCCTTGCCAAGCCCCTCGCGAAAAACAAAAGGCTTGAGTTGGGGCCGGGGCCACCTCCGGCCGGATGAATTGCAACTATTTGCCAAGCGTAGTGGCTGCGTTTAAGAGAGGGTTCGGACAAGCCAACGACACTCTCTTTAAGCCCGGCTTCTTTTTAAACCGGAGTACATGTGAATGTATTTCTCATGGTCGGGACAAGCGGAAAACGCTCTCTTAAATCCGATTTTCCCACGAACAATCTCTCTGAAACCGTAGCAGCCGCTACTGCTGTACGGCCAACTCAGCACCCTTGGGACCTCACCTGGTTCACCAGCTTCGCAGCAGCCCCGGCCCCGTACCCCCCCATGTGCTCGATGCGACTCCCCATCGCCTCAAGCACGGGCAAGCAAGTCTTGAGGTGCTCCTCCTTGCCTCCGACCATGATCGACAGCGTCCCTTCGGGGTGGCCACACGGCAGGGAGAGGGGGGGGGGTTAGGGGTCAGTTTCACGAATTTCGTGCCCCCGCGCGGTGTTTCGCCGCTTATTTTCAGGTCGAAACCGTCGGCGTGAAAGGGGCTCTGTAGCGTTCCCCCAAAGAGTGCGGAACGGCATGATGACAATTGCCGCGAAACGGCAACACGAACGGGCAGCCCAAAGAGTCCGTCCGTGTCACCCTGTGTCAACATTAGAATATTAGCTTTCGTCATTTCTCAGAGCGGAAGGCCTTGTTTTTGGGCCACAAAGCGCGCGATGTCTTCAGAACTGGTAAACGAGGAAGGCAAAGAGTGACACAGGGTCATGCGGACGAACCGCCTCCGAGTCTTTGGGGTGCCCGTTGTGCTATAGTCGCGCGGTAATCACCGTACGCCGTACACTTTTCATGCCTTGCGTGCGACCGAAAATAAGTCGACATTACATCCCGTGGTTTCTTGTTACCTCCAACGATACGAAAAGCAAAGAAGAAGGCGTGGGTGAGGATGGAGCTCATTGAAATTGAACCACTGCTGCGAGCTGAAGCTCACGACGGGACTGTCAGGTATAATAAATTCACCACATTTTGAATCCAGAACGGTTTCGACGGTGAAGACAACAACGAAAACCATCCACGAAGCTTTATGGCAGTTTGAAGACGCCCTCCCCTCACAAGCGTTCCGACCTGGAGCCAGGACTACAAGAGGTTCGTGAGGCTGCTGCTGGTCGGGAGGGGTCAAATGGGTTGGGCAGGGAAAGCGTTTTTATGTGTCGTGTGCAGCAGCACAGGCCGTGATGGATTCATTCATCACGCCGGCACAAAAGCACGTGAATTCACTCACTCAAAGCGTTTTCTCCCGGCGAATCCCCCCCCTTCCTTCGAGAGTCCTGCGGGGCCGCTGCTGTTAGAGCTCGCACTTAAGAACTTGGCAGTCAAAGACGAAATCGATATGGCCAAGATGAACTAAATAGGCACATGAGCACCGTCTATGAGCCTGGTTAAGAACCCCTACACCAAAACCTTTACAGCGGCCATTCGTAGTATTAACCCTAGGAACAAAGAACGTCAGCCTCGGCCCAAACTCCGTAAGTGCGGGCGCTATCTGCAGAGTGAACGACAGCACCCCTTACCTTCGAGGGCGCCTTGCGGGCCGCCGCTTATTGGCGCGTCCAGAAACGCGCCCCCTCCTTTGATCACGGCTTTGGACATACTTTTCGCGAAGCTTGGAGAGACTGTTCCGTGGTCCACTATGATCTGTCGCGAAGCGGTCAGTCGACAGACGAGGCACCGATGAAAAAAGAAAAAAAAGGAACAACGAAGGAGGGTGATAAACAAAACCTGAGATGGAAGAGGAGCGTCGGAAGTGCTGGCTCGCCAAAATAAAGAAGTGTCATTCGAAATAGGCAGTTGAGGGAGCTCGGGACGTCTCTGACTTCAAAGACAGCAACAATAGCGAGGATCACAACCATGGTGACGACAGCACTCGAGACAGGTGCATGATGAGAGTCCGAAGGCCTTTGATTGTACCGAAACAGCATCAGCGAGGGCAAAAACTATGGCAACGAGAGCAACAACGCAACAACAGCGAGGACAACAACAATGGCAACGATAACACCAGCAGCAACAGCAGCAGCAGCAGCAGCAGCAACAACAACAACAACAACATCAACAACAACGACGACGACACTAACCTTGTCGGCCATGACCTTTGACCCAACCGCCAAGAGCCCGTCCTCCCCGGCCAAGGCCTCCACCGACTGCTGCTCCGTGTGCACGCACACCAAGCACACGTCCGAAGCCAGCATCACGTCCGCGGGGGACTCGAGGAGGTGGAGGTGGGGCGTCGACAGACCTCCCGGTCCTGCCGAAGGGGTGGACGGGGGCACACACGGAAGGGGG